TAAGTCTTCCAAAGACTTCATATGATTTGTTTATATTTGATTAGCACACGAGATGTTGGTATTTCTGGCTTCAAGCTTTTCATCATACTTATTCCCCATATAATATCGGATGTGTCATTGTCTAGTTAGATTGAAGGATGTAAAATAGCGATAAGTTACACTGCGGTTGCAGTAATCTCAGATGCGATTATTCGCTTTCTTTGCTAGATGGGAAGGAAGCGCCTAGCGTTGTAATTCCTTACTTTTGGGTGCTGCGTCTTTCAAGTTAAAAAATGTTGGCAATATTCGTAGGCACTGCTTTATTTCATTCATAAATTTCCCACAGGGAGATAAGTTCTATCTAACACACCACTTATTTTATGCTATTATTTTAAATCATTCAATGATGAAGATTGAAACTGTGATATTTGTGTTCACTTCATTTCAATTGGAAAATATGACGTTGTGCTATCGGCGTTGTCAATACAAACTTTTTTTTAATCTGCATCGATTGCGAAATAAAACTTTGTATAATGCAACTTATTCGGCAACATTTATTAAGATATTTGTCGGCGTATTCGTTTTATAAACAAGTTAGAAGAAATTCTTGGCATACAATTAAAACAAAAAATGGTATATTCTTATCCTAAAAGAAAAAATAAAATAGATCAAAAATTGAAAATATCAGTCCATCCTGTACCTTCAAAACTTCCTTCCTTTTTTCTTTTCCAGAATGTGGAAGGGAGTAAGAAGAGCAATTCAGCCGATGTAGAATTGATGGAAGATTGATTAATCCATCTAGTTAAATTGTCATTAAATTTCGATACGATATCACAGTTGTTCATCGATTTATATGATCAATATTGTGTGTTTTATAGAAAGCATCACAAATCAGCTATTATCACACGGCATTAATCGGTTGTTTACAGTTAACACAATTTATAATTAACTTGATGGAGTAATTGAAATTCATAGTTGCGTATACCGCTTATCATGCTGAATCGTCGTAAATGAACGATTCAAACGAACAAATTCTTAAGTATTCAAACAGTAGTAATCGTCCTGGTAAGGAAGCAAGCAAATATGAATCAATTTATAACTTCTCAATTGTTTTGAAATAAATCTTTTTTCTGCTTTTTTTATCAATTTTAAAATTTTTTGAAATTTTGTAAATAGAAATATGAGTAATTGATAATGAAAATTTATTAACAAAATTATCAATGAAACATTTTTTGTATCCGATATGCTGAATATCTTATTTTTGACTATTATAATTCATTTTATTCAATTATCATTACAACAATTCCATTAATTAATTTTTCATTCCAAAAAGTTTATTATTATTTTTAAAATATCAAAGTTTTGAAAAATTAGGAAAAGATTAAATGATAATGATAATATCAATGTTATGAAATTTCTTTGCTTCTCTTTCTTATTTGTTGTAAATCAGTTATATTTCATTTTTTTTAACAATTTATTTATTATTGCATAATAAAATTAATGCGATTTTCCATCTGTTTTACATAAAATTCTTCCTTTTCTCTTTTTGTAAAAAAAAAAACAAAAAAGAAATTTATTTTATTGTTTTAATGTAATTACTACGACAACAATTATTATTTATTATTTTACTTCTCTCTTCTCTTTTTATTAGTTTATTTTAATTTGTTAAATATTACTTATTTGATAATTTTTATTAATTTCAATAAATTCTCTTTTGATCTCTTCTTTATGACAAATATAGCTTATGTATAATGTCGTAATTATTGGTTACAAAGACATTATGAGAAGAATGGATGAGGTTAATTAGTTATACAATTTAATTAGTTTGAAATATTTTACTATTATTTTTAACTTTTGATTCTTTTTTTTAACTAATGATTATTCATTACTGACATTATTAAGATATATTGTCGCTCTCTTTAAAAAAAGTCAAATTATTTATCATTTTGTGGCTCTATTAATTTCATTATCAAATGATAATAAGTTGTTGACAAATACTTATAAGCTCATTAGTAAATAATGTACATTAAGCATATTTATAGGGATAATATAACTGGAAGGTTTTAATTTTATAAGACTAAAAGAAAGATAATAACTGCCATATAAGTGATAATTCCTGGATGTTTACATACATTTGGTTAACTTTTCAATGTTTCATTTTTAATTATTATCATTTGTTCTTAATTATTCAGTTTTTCTTAATTATTCAATTCTTTCTTTTTCTCTAGCATATTTACTAATTTATTATATATTTTAATTTTTTTAATTGTAAACTATAATAAATTATAATCACTGAATGGCATTTTCAACATTTTCATAATTTTCCGAAAAGCTCCTTTAATCTGTGCTTTATTAAGCAATTATATTTATCATTTAATCTTCCCTTTCCCATTAACTTAATTTTATTATTTTATCAATCATTTCCATAATTAAATTATCAATCAATGTATTTTAAGTTTTCGGTTTCTTTTTTGAAATCAATAAATTTTTCTAAAATCATTCCAAAAATGAGAAAAGAGTAAATGTTCAAATATAATTATCAGTTTTATCTTATCTTATCAGATATCTTATCAAATCCAAACATTTAACTTTCTGATACAACTCTTTCTAAAGATGAAATAATATTAAAAACTCATAAAACATTCCGTTTTTTTCCTTTTTTTAGGTCTAAGATTTATTACATTATTGGATTTTTTTCCGTTTTTCGCTTTTTTCAATTTTTCCTTCTTTCGTTCCTTCCCATTTCATTTCATTGTTTTAACCAAAAACTGTTAATTAGAAGGAAAGTGACAGCTTCAGAATTCATTTATTATTACGAAATAATTATTAGTTCAATTTAAGCTTTTCAAGAAATTTACATATTATTTATCAATTCTTTGTCATTAAGTTTTTCAACAATTTTCTAATACTTCAACAAATTACAACGAAGGAATTAAGAATTGATATTGGAATAAAATTGATTTGTATAAAAAAATGCTTAGTAACTTAATGTTATCTAATTTATTTATGACAAAGATTTGAATAGAGAATTAATTATAAGTGATAAAAAATCGATTTTTTTACTTGAAACATTTAGTAATCAAATAATTTGGAAATGATTTCTATCAGATTATCAAATCTGTCATTTACGGATGGAAATATTTTTTATTAAAATATTGTGAATGCTTCGTTCGTATTCAGTCTTTTTTGACATCATAATCGATTCTTTAGCTTTTGCAATATTTTAATGAATTTTTATGATTTTAAGGAATATATCTATCAAACGGTAATGTGCGGTTTATTAGCATCAGTTTATGCTCAACGAAACGATCATAAGTTAGTTCTATCTTCTTTTTTTAATTTTAAAATTATTTCAAAGTTTTATTTGTCCTTTTTTTTTTACAATTCTTAAATTATATCAAATTTCATCCGCGTTATGCAAATTTTTTCAATTATTTTTAAAAAATTATTTGCACTAAAGGAAGTTAATTGATTGTTTTATGTCTTCATAATAATTGATTTATTTGCATAAAGTTTAAAGTAAAGCTAATGCATATACTATATATATATATATACACATGTGTATAGTATATGCATTAGCTTATATATATATATATGTATGTATAGTATATGATTAACATTTCGCATAAAATTTTAATATGCTAATTCTTCATCAACAACAACAGCAAAATTTCGAAGTTAATAAAATAATTTTTGCTTTAAAAGAAAAATTGCCTTTTTTGATAGCTCTCGTCATCACACACACTTCACTTCAGCAGGCTGTGTTGCTTCTTTAGTTTACATCATTAAGTAAAAAGAATTGTACTTTATGTTTAAAATGCTCCTTTCATTCTCGCCCGTTTCCTGTCTTCTTTTATTTTAATATAAAAATAATTCATTATTATTATCTTTTAATTTGCATATTTCTTTTCAATTTTCATTCTCTGGAAAATAAAAATGATTTGAGTAGGTGGGAATTATTTTTTTGTTTAATCATATGTTATTATCATTATTGCTATTATTAGCTATCATTTGATAAGTGATAGGAGAAGATAATATGCAATTATGATATATGATTTGATAGATAAGAGAAGAAAGCAATGATATGTTTTAAATAAGGCCTTTCAATTTTCCTTCTTCTTCTTCTTCTTCTTATCCATTCTTTTCGTTATGCTAAAAAGGAATAGCAATTTTCCATCTAATTTCCTTTTTTTAAAAATATATTTGTTTACCTTTGAAAATGAATTATTATAAATAAAAGCGAAAAAAAGAAGGGAAGTATACATTCATTTTCTCTTATGTGTTTATCCGACAATTTGATAAATAAATTAAATCCTATGAAAAATTATTTCCCTTTTCCTTTCTTCATTTCCCTATCTCTCTCTCTCTCTCTCTCTCCTTCTCTTTCTCATTTCAGAATGCTTTAATGCGTTTCCAAGATGAAATACTTCAGCTGAACTTATCCAACCGTGATTTCAATATTAATTCCCGCTAATACATTTATCAATATTCTCACTGCTTAAGCACTCATTTATCACACTGATAGGCAACTAATAGTATTATAATAATAATTATTAATAATAATAATAAACAATAATAAAAAAATAAACAAATAAGTAAATAAATAAATAAATGATAAATAAATTATTTTCTAATATTAATTTCATTATGATCATCCATTCATCGATTTAATCTTTTTACAACCAGTATGCGATCAGATTGAAATTTATCGGTTCATTTCATTACTGATAATATGATAATATTATCATTGTTTTTTTTAATAATAAAGATTTTATACAAATTTCATTATTTCCTAAATCTTCATTATTTTAATGAGTAATAAGTGTAAAATTATGAATGAATTTAGTTATATGATAAATTCAAAATTCAGTTTTATTAGCGATTATCGATTTTCCTCAAATTATTCTCAATTATGACATATTCTATGAAGTTTATGAAAAAAGAGCTAACAGCATAGGATTTCTTTATTTAGATTAATTTAATATAAAATCATATCGTATCATTTCAGATCATCAGAGAGTATGAAATCAGAACAGTATTCGGAAACTTATTCTCAACATCCATCAACTATTGAAAAATATCATAAACTTAAAAGGTTACTACTAATCTCATTGTTCGATCAATTTTCCAAATTGGGTTTGGAATCACTGTGATTTTAGTTTTCAGGATTTTTGGTGATGCGCCCTCTTGTTTACCATCAAATCGTTTATGTGAATTGCTATATTGGACTTGTCGAAGGGTACATTTGTGGTTTTGTTTTTATAATGATGGTAAGTTTACTCATATCATATATTAGGCACATTTGTCTCACTTATGATATTGTCACTTCAGTCTTCGCTCATTATTGTGTCACCAGTAGCACTAATTATTTCTTGCATAATTAATTTTTTTGTACAATAATGTTTTGAAACTGTTGAACTGCCGAAATTCGATGATAATAACATTCCAGCCTAAGTTGTCCAATTTTAAGGTTAACATATTTTTTCTATGAAATATCATCCTCAATGTGTCAATATTGGACAAATATACTTATTATTGTTATCATTATTAGTAATAATTATAACAATAATAATAGTAGTAACAAATGATGATAAAGGTAATGAATAATAATCATTACTATTATTGCTATCAAATTTTCCAGACGTGGAAATAGATATTGAAGATTTATTATCTAATCCATTCAATACACAGCCTCCTTCGTTGAATGAATTAATTCGCATAACAGGATTTAATAAGGATTGGATTATGTTTATGTATCGAAATTTTAAGCAGGTTATAAAATTTTATTATCAAAAAATTTATATTAATTAAAACTTATTCTTTAGATTTATTACATTTATAATTGTTAAATATGGCTTATATTATCAAATAATCATTTGTTTCCTTTTCGAAATTATTTGATTTTTATGATAATAATTAATTATATGAAAAATTCGGGAAAAATATAAATGATAAGTTGAAAATAATACATTCCAATCATAACATTTGCTTATTTTTCTTCTTTCTTATTTTCTAAAAATTTATAGTTTCAATTAATATTTAGTATAGAATTGTTCAAATGGACGAATGTCGTTACAACAGTGGAGACGAATATTCCAATTGATATTTCCCAAATCAGCAAACACCAAATTTGCTGATCGAGTATTTCGGGCTATTGCTGGTAATAAAAGCCAGAAATATATTACTTTCGAGGTATTATTATTATTGACCTAAATTATAGTTTAAGCTATCATTTTGGATTATACGTTCAAACACTATTAAGCATTTTGCGTATCAAAGAGATTAAAAGAAAATTAATGCTACTCCTAAGTGTTACATATACTTAATTTATCTTTGTAATAAATTTAGTTGTGTGATTGGAATCAAAAATAAGTTTTAATTTCTTTTTTCCCTTCCAGGAATTAATACTATGTTTGGATGGAATAAGTGAATGTCATTGTACTTATGCATCGACAAGTTCTCAGAATTCATCTGCTCATTTTTCACGGATAGCACAATTTGTTTTCCTGTTGATGGAATCAGATGATGAAGTTAGTTTATCAATTTCATTAATTTCATTAAAATTAATTTAATTATTACATTTCTGTGCTATCACTCAATCGATATACTTTGCTGACTTTTTTCTTATTTTAATTGAAAAATTTTCAAAATAAATTTTATTATCTAAGCGAAATAATATTTGATATTCTTTCAATTTATTATTACTTCCATTTTTAGGAGCAAATAAATTTGGATTCTTTTGAAGATTATGCTGAAGCTGTGTTCAGTTTAAATGTCTCATCTGTGGTATATAATTCACATTTATTTAGTCAAATGAGTACTTCAAATTCTTATGATGATAATACTCCGCCCATATCATTTCAATTTCCACCAAATTTAAGGCATCACGCATTACAGTGTTTCAACGTAAGCTTATGCAAATTCCAATGCCAACAATTTTCCTTTTTCTTGCTATTGAATTAGATAAAAATAATAATTTAATAATGGTAAATAGTGATAACAGTATAATAACCATGAAGTTAGGTTACATTAAAATAGTTCGTTGAAAGAGATATTTTAGGCGGTGGAAAAAAAATGATTAAAATAGTT